TTAGGGTGTCATTAACCCTAATTGACAGATATGTACCCCATATATGCAGGGTGTGATGAGTGTTCTCTCCTTGCTAAATATGGGATCTGCATTACTCCACTCAACTCTCCACATTCTGAATGTCCACCATGCTAGGATGTATTTAAACTAGGAGGGGGGGGCAAAAGGGTGATAAAACATCAATCCAATTGTCCCCCAAAACAAGGACAGAAGGTGCCTGTAGCAAGTGTGTTAAAAATGATAAGCTTAGAGTCATGTCTACAAATGCTCGCAGTTTAGGGAATAAGATCCATGAACTTGTGGCAATAATGGCAACTGATAGTGTAGATTTAGTCGCTGTTACTGAGACATGGTACAATGAGAAAAATGACTGGGACATAGCAATACCAGGGTACTCTTTATATAGGAAAGATAGGGAAGGCAAGAAAGGGGGAGGGGTGGCCTTGTATGTGAAGGATAGCATAAAATCTAGCCTAATAAAAGTTAGTGAGGCAAACATAGAGTCCGTTTGGGCTACGTTAGAATTTGGTAATCACACAGTAACTCGTGTAGGTGTGATTTATAGGCCCCCAGGACAAATTGAAGAGTTAGATAATCTACTAGTTGAGGAAATAGCTAAAATGACAATGAAGGGGAAGTTATCATCATGGGTGACTTTAATCTTCCTGATGTAAATTGGAAAACAAAATTAGCTACTTGTGCCAGGAGCACACATATTCTAAACTCCCTACTGGGATTGTCTCTAAAACAAGTTGTTGAGGAGCCAACTCGTAAAGAGGCCATACTAGATTTAGTGTTAACAAATGGAGATTTGGTATCAGATGTTACTGTAGGTGAAAGTTTAGGATCCAGTGATCATCAGTCAGTGTGGTTTATATAAGAACAGTGACTGAGTCACACCACACAAAAACAAAAGTTTTAGACTTTAGAAAAACAGACTTTTCTAAAATTAGAATATGGGTAGAGGAGTCATTATCAGACTGGAGCAATTTAAATGGAGTCCAAGAAAAATGGGATTATTTAAAAGTTGCACTATTGAAGGCAACAGAAAATTGCATTAGGCTTGTCAGTAAAAGCAAAAAATTCAAGAAACCACTGTGGTACTCCGCAGATGTGGCCAAAATAGTTAAAAACAAAAAGTTAGCATTTAGGAATTATAAAAAAAACCAGAGTGAGGAAGACAAAATGATCTATAAGATTAGGCAGAAAGAGGCTAAGCAAGTTATAAGAGCTTCCAAATCACACACAGAAGAGAAAATAGCACAGTCAGTAAAAAAGGGGGATAAAACATTTTTTAGATACATAAATGAGAAAAGAAAAGTAAAACAAGGATTAGTTAGATTAAAAACAAAAGAAGGAAGGTATGTAGAAGAGGATAAAGGTCAGGCTGACTGCCTCAATGAATATTTTTGTTCTGTATTTACAGAAGAAAATGAAGGAAAGGGACCTCAGTTGAGAAAAAGGATAAATGAGTCATTTATTACACGTGAGTTTACAGAGGAAGAGGTTCTATTTCAACTGTCAAAAGTAAAGACAAATAAGTCAATGGGACCTGATGGAATACACCCAAAGCTATTAAAAGAGCTTAGTGGTGTACTAGCAAAACCATTAATAGATTTATTTAACCAATCATTGTTAACAGGAGTAGTCCCAGAAGATTGGAAGTTAGCGAATGTTGTGCCCATTTACAAGAAAGGTAATAGGGAGGAGTCGGGCAACTATAGGCCAGTAAGCCTTACTTCAGTAGTGGGGAAAGTGATGGAAACCATGTTAAAGGATAGGATTGATGAACATCTAAAACACATGGATTTCAAGATCAGAGACAACATGGGTTTACTTCAGGGAGATCATGCCAAACTAATCTTATTGATTTTTTTGATTGGGTAACTAAAATTATAGATCAGGGTGGTGCAGTAGACATTGCTTACCTAGATTTCAGTAAGGCTTTTGACACTGTTGCACATAGAAGGCTTATCAATAAACTGCAATCTTTAAGTTTGGATTCAAATATTGTTGAATGGGTAAGGCAGTGGCTGAGTGACAGGCAACAGAGGGTTGTAGTTAATGGAATATATTCGAAGCTTGGACTTGTCACCAGTGGGGTACCTCAGGGATCTGTACTTGGACCCATTCTCTTTAATATTTTTATTAGTGATATTTCAGAAGGTCTTGATGGTAAGGTATGTCTTTTTGCTGATGATACTAAGATATGTAACAGGGTTGATGTTCCAGGAGGGATAAGCCAAATGGCAAATGATTTAGGTAAACTAGAAAAATGGTCAGAATTGTGGCAACTGACATTTAATGTGGATAAGTGCAAGATAATGCATCTTGGACGTAAAAACCCAAGGGCAGAGTACAGAATATTTGATAGAGTTCTAACCTCAACATATGAGGAAAGGGATTTAGGGGTGATTATTTCTGATGACTTAAAAGGTAGGCAGACAATGTAATAGAGCAGCAGGAAATGCTAGCAAAATGCTTGGTTGTATAGGGAGAGGTATTAGCAGTAGAAAGAGGGAAGTGCTCATGCCATTGTACAGAACACTGGTGAGACCTCACTTGGAGTATTGTACACAGTACTGGAGACCGTATCTTCAGAAGGATATTGATACCTTAGAGAGGGTTCAGAGAAGGGCTACTAAACTGGTTCATGGATTGCGGGATAAAACTTACCAGGAAAGGTTAAAGGATCTTAACATGTATAGCTTGGAGGAAAGACGAGACAGGGGGGATATGATAGAAACATTTAAATATATAAAGGGAATCAACACAGTAAAGGAGGAGACTATATTTAAAAGAAGAAAAACTACCACAACAAGAGGACATAGTCTTAAATTAGAGGGACAAATGGTTTAAAAATAATATCAGGAAGTATTACTTTACTGAGAGGGTAGTGGATGCATGGAATAGCCTTCCAGCTGAAGTGGTAGAGGTTAACACAGTAAAGGAGTTTAAGCATGCATGGGATAGGCATAAGGCTATCCTAACTACAAGATAAGGCTAGGGACTAATGAAAGTTTTTAGAAAATTGGGCAGACTAGATGGGCCGAATGGTTCTTATCTGCCGTCACATTCTATGCTTCTATGTTTCTATGTTTCTATCTACTTTAGCATGTCAGGTTTTTACTGTATATTTCAGTGTTTTACACTATTTGCCACCTGGTAGCTTAGACTTTTATTTTACTTTAGAAGATCAGGGATATTTAAATGTCTTGGAGATTTTCTCTTTGAGCCATTTCACCTAACAGTGTGCACATTGACATTCACTCCAGAGCTTGGAACTAACTAAAACTAACTCAGCTATATTGATTGCGGATTGTCAACTTAGAGGGACACATCAGAATGAAGATTTATATGGTGTAAGCAGATCCCCTGGTGCTGGCTTAGCTCAAGGGGTTAAACCATTGACAAACTGTTTAACCCCCAAAGTATTGAATCCAGTGCACAATTGCTTTGCCCATTCACCGCAGTCCGAGGATTGAATGGAAACTACCCATGCACACAATGGATTGAGAAAAGAATGTATTTTGTCCAGCTGGTTTCTTGGTGGGGAGCTGCGGTCAGCTGCATTACTGTCTAAAGCTTCCTGATGCAGCCTTCGGACTGCGGCAGGTGTTGGTAGGCAGATTTGCCAATTTGAACTTACAAAATTTGCTCTAACCCCTTGAGATAAAGCAGCACCTGGGGATCTTCTCCAACCATAATAACTTAATTCTGATGATGTTGTTATGCTGCCCAGAGTGATGAAGTTGTTATGGTGCCCAGAGTGTTCCTTTAATGTAACTTACTGTTTGGTGACTTTCCGGACTTTGGCAGGTTTTTCACAATTATTTCGTAGTTCTCAATATAAATACAAATACATCTAAAACGTTACAATTTTGACACTATTCTGGCTGGAAAAAAAAATAACTGCCAAAACACAAGATATCCTCATCAGAAATGTTTCTTTTGTTATATGTACTATTTACTTGACAAGCTTCTTCTCTGTAAGGTTTACTGAAGCCATCAGATTATTGTAGAAAATGTGACATATCTGTCTCTAACAGATAGTCATTTGTATCACAAAAAAAAAAAAGAAAATACCAACACCAATTATATAGTTAACCACAAACTCTCTCATCAATCTCACCCTTTTCTCAGTCAGCACAGAAATTATACTAAGACAAGGCTGTGCAATTAGCAAAGGATGACAGTATGAGTTTTTCATCAATAATGAGAGTAATGGGAACCTTTTGTCAATGTAACTGTTATGTATCTAAGGAACTACATCTCCTATGATTCTAAATGGCTTGAATAATTAGCCGGGATTGGTAAATACTGTAACAAACACAAAAACACAAACATGAAAAATGAAAAAAATATTCATGCTGAACTCATTCAAAACACGGGAGATGATTATCTCATTTAAAAGACTGCATTTAAAATGTACGAAATAATACAATTTTGGGGGGATTATTTTGAATAACACATATTTATTTTAATATTGTGCCAGCAATCGAGAGGGGGGATTCGGGACGTGCTAAGCACCCACATCACTATCGGCACCAATAATGGACAGCCTGGGAAAGGGGAGGCTGACAGTCTGCCTGTCCCTCAGCCTTCAGGACCTTGCAGGGAACATTGCTGAAGCAAGTCCTTCATTGTCCTTGTGCTCGCTGTCCAGCACAAGAGCATCAAATGATGGGGGACACCTAGGAACTAAAGAGGGATGGCAGGACAGGACACAGAAATTGGACTGTCCTGCAGAAAGTGGGACTGTTGGGAGGCCATTGGTAGCACTGAAGCCACAAATGTCTCAAGGTACCGTTGGGTAGAGTATCTGTGAATATACAAATTAAATAACATACAGACTTCTGACATTTACTGACAAATATAAATAATGATCAATAATAATATTAAAAAGAGATAGGCGATACATCAGTGATAGATCATGATAAATGGTGATCTTTAAATGTGATAGTTTCTAGTTATAACTTCTAACTAGTATGTACATTCAACACACGAAAAATAGGTGGAGCAAATTGTGATAGCGAAAGGGAGAGAAATAGAATAAAATTGATACTTCTCTTTCTTCTAATTTAAAACTGTGGAAAATAGAGAGATACAAAATAGTGCAAATATTGCTGTACACAAACTCTTAATAAAATATGTGTCAAATACACTCACAATGAAAGAGCCATATAGTATAACCTGGCTCTGGTGTGGATTTCCTCTGGGATCTTAATAGGGTGATCCCCAGACCTCTTTGATGCTTGTTGTAATCAGTCTCCCCTCAATGATGAACCGTGGGAGGTGTTTTCCAAGCAAAAAAATATTTATTAAATAAAATAAGTAATAGTAATACAGAAAATAAAACCTTATAATGTCCAATGTGCTTGCCAAAACGCGTTTCGCCAATGTGGCTTCCTCAGTTGGCATATGATGATAGTGTCCTCTTAGTTCTTTAAATCTTCTCAAAATTCGCGGTCAAACTTCTGGTGGAACGCATATGCGTTCCACCCAGTACTTCCGGGTTCCGTCCCCTTAGTGGCGCCCATGTCACTTCCGGTTTCGATGGTGCTTCAGAGTGTTAGGTGCGTTACGTTCCTGTATGTACATTCAGTTCTGTAATTCCCAAACAACATTCACACATAGTACCAGGAGTTCATTGAAATCTGACCAATCACAGGGTCATAAAATATAGGACTCTAGAGAGCTTTGTAGCTTTCATTTAAAAAAAATGGAGCATTTAAAGTCCAAATTTTAAATAGAATGACTGCTTCAGTACAGAGAGCAAGCACCAATTGCAGGGGACAGTCTCAGATTGATATATTCAGTGGGACAGTCTGAGATTTATACCTACAGCGGACAGTCTCTGATTGATACATTCAGTGGGACAGTCTCAGATTGATACATTCAGTGGGATAGTCTCACATTTCTACGCTCAGTAGGACAGTCTCAGATTGATACATTGAGTGGGACAGTCTCACATTTCTATGCTCGGTGGGATAGTCTCAGATTGACACATTCAGTGGGGCAGTCTCACATTTCTATGCTCAGTGGGATAGTCTCAGATTGATACATTCAGTGGGACAGTCTCACATTTCGACGCTTAGTGGGACAGTCTCAGATTGATACATTCAGTGGGACAGTCTCACATTTCTATGCTCAGTGGGATAGTCTCAGATTGATACATTCTGTGGGACAGTCTCACATTTCTATGCTCAGTGGAACAGTCTCAGATTGATACATTCAGTGGGACAGTCTCACATTTCGACGCTTAGTGGGACAGTCTCAGATTGATACATTCAGTGGGACAGTCTCACATTTCGACGCTCTGTGGGACAGTCTCAGATTGATACATTCAGTGGGACAGTCTCACATTTCGACGCTCAGTGGGACAGTCTCAGATTGATACATTCAGTGGGACAGTCTCACATTTCGACGCTCAGTGGGACAGTCTCAGATTGATACATTCAGTGGGACAGTCTCAGGAGTCATGGTGCTCTTTTTTAGCCAAGTAACATAAACATCCTCGAAGACAGGCCCATACAGGTCTAGTTAGTCAAAGAAATGTGTATTTTTTTTTACCAAGTGTAGATTAAATCACATTCATGTTTCAGTCCGTATCCAGACTTTCATCAATGTCTGGGTACGGACTGAAACGTCATTGTGATTTAACCTAATCTTGGTAAGAAAGACACATTTCTTTGACTAACAAGACCAGTGTGTCTCTTACTTTGTGGATGTTTATGTTTTTTTAAATAAAAATTATACATAATAATGAATAACACACACACATCTATACATAATCAATAATGATTAACACACACATACATCTATCTATCTATATATATATAATTCATTATTGATTATGTATAATTTTTATTATTTTTCATATACACATTGTTTATTTTTATTTTTTCCTTGCTCGGTTGGTGATATCTTTTGCCCTGGTCTCTTTATTCTATGTATGGTAATTGTTTTTAGAATTTTGACCCTTCGGGGACTCTATCACCTCATTTTTTATCTCGCCCCACTTGGGTTGAGCCAGATAGATGCCGCATAAGTTCCAGATTGGAGATAAAGAAAGACAAGCGTTCACTGCCGAATGCACTCCTGCGTTCCGGGGTGCAACGCATTTGATGCCCGGCCCGTCGCATTGTGTGGAAAACATGCAAGGCTTAGGCCGAAGCCCCGTGTGGGCTGGATATGATTTTATAATCTACACATCTTTTATAATGAAATACATAAGTACACATATATCCCTGAAGTCCTAATCACAAAATGCATATGTTAGATTTTTGGACTTTCTCTGATCTTATTTTGTTTTTATTGTTTATTTAGATTTTATTATAGTTTTTATTCATATTCGTTTTGGGCATGTCTTGGTTTGCAACTACCCTGTTCATTTACCAATTGAAGTGGAGACATGTCTTCTTACTTCATGAATTTGTAAGTGCATTTTTAATAATAAATTGTGAAATGTTACAGTATTGCACGATTTTGGTCTTTCTATTCATATTAAGAACACCAATGAGCGAGGACACAGAATCATCTCTCCAGATTCTCCCCTGTGGGGGAGACAAGGCTGGATTTCATTTCCATTCAGTGAGTTCTCTCCCTCGCCTCCCTGGTTTTACTTTGCTGTTCATGATGCACTGTACTATGTCGTACCTTGATTTTCCCTCCAGATATTATACCTTCGTAAGCTTGTTGCCATTTCCCACTTACCTTTTGTAGAGGTTGTATGTTTTTATATATACTTTATACCACTTTATTGGGGGTCTTCACTGGGTATTTCCTCCACTATTTTATACGTTGTTCATTTTGTTTGTGTTTGATGAACACTTTTTTTTTTGAGCTGTATACCTATTTATATAGTTATCACATATATTTTGACCATGGTTATTATTTCTATCACTCTATTCCTTTCCCCACCTCCAGCCCTATCCAAGCCATTGATTAAGGTTTCCCTTGTATCCTGAGAGATTCAGGAAGTGTGTGCTGCCTGTAGCACTTATCACGGAAGCTCTGCACAGCTTGCGCGGCCCCATGACTTATGATGTCTTTTTCCCCTTAATGAGCCAATTGGAGCTGACCTGATCAGGCACTGCATCCATTTTCCCAGCAGAGGCTCTGCCGGCTTTATTACAGGGAAGTGCCCAGTGTGCATCATAGGGGAACTTTGAGCTGTGTTGGCTGCTGTTGCCATGGCGCCCTTGTGGCTGCACAACTCGGACATCCTAAAGGCCTCCCCTGCCTGGCGCCCCCCTTCTGCCTCAGCTCCCTAGCGATAAACCCTGCCCAGAATCGGCCCTGTATTCATTTATTAAACTGATTGTCATGCATTTAGCAAAATGTCAGTTACTTTAATTTCTTGGTGGTGACTGTTAGCACAATATAGCTTTGCCACAATTAATTAATATTACTTGAATCTGCAGGATACCTTTTAGAAAATTGCATATGGTGTTAAAAATGACTCCAATTGGCATTTAAAAATATAGATAAAAATGTTTTATAAAAAGTGTTTTCCTTTTATTTCAAATTGCTAATTTATATGAGAAGAGCTTTCATGGTGACATTTAGAAATAAATCAATCACACGCTGTTAAATGTAATTCTCTCTACTCAAAAATTAAAGAAATTAAAATCGAGAAACTAAACTTTTTATTTTTATTTTATGATACCAGGAATCACAAACAAATCTTATTTTTTTTAAACACTGGGAAATACCTTAATTTTAATTGAAAAAATAAATAAATAAACAACCGGCATTGGTGTTTCTTTTGTCAGGTCCACTCCAATTATTAGCAGATTTGGAGATGTATGCTTATTTTTTGTTATCTCATTTTCCCTTCTGTTATTTGAGAAGTCCACAGATCCACATTCTAATTTTTTCATTTTTAGTCATTATTGTTTTGTAATTGGCAGGCGGGAGGTATAGAGAATTTGGCAGATGATAACTGGGAAACTCTGAATTAATTATGTGTTCAACAAGTAACTGTCTTTTTCCTTTGATGTTGGTTCTGCCATGGCAGTACCACAGTCAGCAGAAATGAAAGTTAGTACAAACCTTGCTTTATTCTGTATTGTTCTCCCGCTGTCCATAGAATCTCCCAAGAGTAGAACCATTATTAGCCTCTGTAAAATAATAAAAAAGACTAACTAGATTAGCTTAAAAAGTACATGTTATAGTTATAGGACTAGTTAAATACCCACCAGGTTCTGTTGTAGGAAACAAAATGGCATCCATGAAATTAGTGTTAGAAAAGAACAAGCAAAAAATGAAAATGAAGAATTAAGCTCAGCACAAGCTCAGGTGAAAATGCAACAATGGATTAATAAACTAAAGCAATAGGTGACGTCCTGGTCTAAGACTAATCTCCAATCGTAGTGTGTCAAACCACATCTTTAGTTATTATTATACTCAATGAACCACAGTTGCTCCTGATTCCTCCCTGCAAAACATTGTGAAAGGAAATTAGGTCAGAAGGTAAAATCAATTTGGTAAAATATTTCAGAATTGATTCAGTATGTGAAACTAGATAACTAGCATGATGTGTGAATAGATTTTAGTTTACTTGATATTAGGCAACTTTTATCATTGGCAGATGATGTTGCTCCCACCCACACATTCCATCCAGAACCAACACTTGACCAATTTAAGAAACTCCAAAGATTTTGTCAGGATCACATTGACATTGACTCGTGGCTGGTGACTGTTTTCGATGCTCTAAAAGGGAAACATATCTTAATAAGTCTTATACACATAAGCTAACAATAAAGATCTTCTGGGTAGCGACATATCTGAACTGACCTAAGGTGGAGCTCTTGAAAAATCCCGTCTGATTTTAGCATGCATTCAGTGTTATCAAAAATTCCCCTGAAAATCGGCAACTAGAAAGTTTTTCTCTCGCAATATCTGTTTGCAATTGTAGACTTTGCAACTACCTTTCAACTGATCCTCTGGTCTTTACAACCAAAGGAATAACATGCACTATATCTTGTATAAAGGGTCTAGGAGATCGTGCATCCCCTGGGTCCTATTTAATACCACTTTTCCACACCACAGTCCATGGAGATTCCATAATTGTTTTATTTATTCATCTGGTTATTTATTTATTTTTTTTATTTACCATGGAGAAACCTGTTTGGTTCTCAGTGTGAGAGCTGATCAGGACTCTCTTATTACCTGCTGAACCTGTAAATGACACTCTCAGCTCTTGGAACTTATTTTACCTTTATTTTCAGTGCCATGGGAGAGAGAGACTCATCACACTGCTCCACACTGCAGCACGAAAGGGTTATTTGTTCAACTTTATCTTATTGAGTGAGATCTTGTAATAAATATGTATATGTTAATGGTGATTGCAATGTGTTTTATGTATATATCTTCTCGCATTAATGGCGCACCCTAGTATACTTCTATGCACCCCATAAACACAATCTGCCGTTCTTTATAAAAAATATTCATTTATCTTACAATGCAAACAACAATATAAATGTAAAAACTTAACAGATGGTACAGCTTAACCAATGTTATAGAGAGAGAGATTTTCGATACCGAGTTATCGTCTTTGTCCAGAAA